TTAACGTAGTCAACTAAACAGAGATAGATATTTTTCTGGAATTCCCTTGCTTTCTCTATGATCCAGTGAATGTTGGCAAATTGATCTCTGGTTCCTCTGCCTTTTCTAAACCCACCAGTTACACTCCTGGGCATTTACCCCTGAGAAATGGAGGCTTATGTTCACATAGAAATTTGTCCACGACTGTTCATTACAGCTTTATTCATAATAGCCTCAAACGTAGAAACAGTCTTCCAGTGGTTGAACGGCTTAACTGTGGTGCATCGGACCGTGGAACACTGCTGGGTAATAAAAAGAAATTTGTTGAGGCATGTAACTTGGCTGAATCTCCAGAGAGTTACGCTGACTGAAACCCCCCCTCAAGTTACATAAGAGATGATTACATTATATAACTTTTTTTAAATGACAGGATTATAGAAATGTAACAGATTAGTAATTGCTACGGGTGAAGGAGTGGGGATGGGGGGCCTGAGGGGCCTGACTGTGACTGTAAAAACGCACATCTTTGTGACAGTGGACGTAATGTTCTGTACTCTGTGTGATGTGTCCGACTCTGGGACCCCGTGGACGATACAGTCCATGGAATTCTCCAGGCCAGAATCCTGGAGTGGGCAGCCTTTCCCTTCTCCAGGGGATCTTCCCAACCCAGGGATTGAACCCAGGTCTCCCACATTGCAGGCGGATTCTTTACCAGCTGAGCCGCCAGGGAAGCCATACCTTGACTATTTCGGGGCAAATATTCTGGTTATACTGTTGTGCTGTAGTTTTGTACATTGTTACCACTGAGGGAAAGCCAGTAAAGGACAGGTGGGATCTCAGTATTGTTTCTTATAAATGTATGGGATTCTACACTTATTTCCAAATGAAAGGTGTTAACTTAAAAAAAAGAGCAGCAGTCTATGAGTATATGCAGCAACATGAATGAATCTCAGAAGCATTTTGTGGAGCAAGAGAAGCTAGGCCCACGATGTGTGGTCTCATGGTATTTATATGGAGTTCTGTCAGAGGCGGATCTGCAGTGATAGAAAGCCAGGCCGTTGCTGGGGGTAGGGGGAGGGCGCTGACTGCAGAGACACACGAGAAAACTTCCTTAATGGAAGTGTTCTGTTGTGATTGTGGTGGTGGTTATACAATTTTACCAAGACTCATCAAACTATAACTTAAAATTGGTGAATTTATTATAATGAATATGCCTCATTAAATCTCACAAAAAAGAGTGAAGAAGTGAAGTGAAGTCTCTCAGTCATGTCTGACTCTTTGCGACCCCATGGACTGTAGCCTACCAGGTTCCTCTGTCCAGGGGATTTTCCAGGCAAGGATACTGGAGTGGGTTGCCATTTCCTTTTCCAGGGGATCTTCCCGACCCAGAGATTGAACCCAGGTCTCCCACATTGTAGCCAGATGCCTTTACTGTCAGAGCCAGGTAAATCCCCAAAAAAGGGGTGGGGGGGGTGTTAAGCAAGCAAAAGCTTGCTAGAGCTAATAATACCTTCAGCCAGGAATTCTTGGCAGTCTAGTGGTTAGGACGCCCCTTTTCACTGCCTTGGGCAAAGGTTCTGGGCAACTGAGATCCTGCGAGCTGTCAGGACGCGGCCAAAAAATGTCTTCCAAGAATCATGTTCACCTTCTCTTAATCACCACAAGGTGGCGTTAGCCACGCACTCCTGACATTTCACAAAATGAAGTCCCTGGTTGGAAAGTGTTCATTTGCAGAAATGGCTTTCCTTTTTTTAATAATCTTCACCAGCTTGGCGATTTGATAAAATACAGTTTTCATCCTCACCTTCACTTTCATTTTCTTCCCATACTGAGGGCTGATATCTTCAGCTTTATTTAATTTGGGGTGGTTTTTGCCAGCCAGTAGTAAACTCCAGTGCATTTCTTGTCATTACTGAGTGAACTTTAAGAGGTTTTGCTTTCTTTAAGGACTTCCCTCGTGGCTCAGTGGTAAAGAAGAGTTTTTGCTTTCTTTAGCAGCTTATAAGAGAACTAGCTAGCCTGGAATATAGTTTGAATTTCACAAAGCACTCTTTGTACTGGCAGGATCCTCCCCCCTCCTCACAGCCACAGTAGAAGCCCAGCGGGGCTTGGTGTGGGCTCTGCCTGGCTTGGTCTGCCTAAATGAAAAAGGGCTTCAAGGACTAGGGGCTGCGGGCGGCTTAGCAGTCATTATACGGGAATGCCACAGAGGGGCATTTTCATTTCTTAATGGCTTGCTGTAGGTTGCACTGTTCAGCCTTTTAAGGTACATTTAAAATAAACCACATTTTTGCATTATTCTAATGCTCAGTTTTTGCTCTTTTCTTCAATCTTCCCTAACCGTGGATTGAATTGCTATATGCAGAGGCCTGGACCAGGTATGCTGGGAGACGTAAAATAAATGTAAAGTATAGGTTCCATACTGTTAAATGTTCTGTATCAACTTGACTGGGCCCAGATATTGGGTCATATGTTTTTCTGGGTGTTTCAGTGAGAGTGTTTTTGAATGAGTTTAACATTTTAATTGATAGATTGACAGAGGAAGACAGTGATTATATGATATAATTTATACCTGGAATCTTAAAAATACAGCAAAATAGTAAACAAAACAAAAAAGGAAGCAGATTTACAGATACAGAGAACAAACATGGTCGCCTGTGGGGCGGGGGAGGGGCAGTGGGGGGGTACAGTCTGCTGGATGTGAGATGGGCTCAGGGAGGTACCGGCCAGCGTGGGGACTGTAGCCAGTCTTGTGTAATAACTGGAAATGGAAAGTAAGCCTTCAAGTTGTATTGGAGCATCTGAGGGGATTCTCTGGTGGTCCGGTGGTTAAGACTTAAGGCTCTCACTGCCGAAGACTCGGGTTCAGCCCTTAACTGAAGATCCCACAAGCTGCACAATGTGGCCAGAAAATACAATTTTTTAAAAAATGTAAATTTTTAAAAAGTTTTTAATTATGTTTAAAAAAATATGATAGAAGGAGTAAAGCATATTGCCCTTTCTAACATGGATGAGCCTTATCCAGTCGATTGAAGATATGAATAGAACAAAAAACTGGCCCTCCTTCAGATTAGAGGAAGTCCCTCTTCCAGGCTGGGATGTTGATTTTTCTTGCCTTTGGACTTGAAGTAACCACTCTTCTGGGTCTTAAGCATGCTGACCTTTGAACTGCGGCTGCACCGTTGACTCTCCAGCTTGCCAGCTGAGGGTCTTGGGACTTGTTATCCCCATAATCACGTGAGCCGATTCTTTATACTAAATCTCTTCTTACACGTGTGTGTATGTAGGTACACACTATTGGTTCTGTTTCTCTGGAGAACCCTGACTAATACACTTGAGCTTAAGGAGTTAGGATGTAAAGAGAAGAAAACAAGAGAAATGAAAGAAGAGACCTGAGACAATTCCCAAATAAACAGAATAGTGTCTGGGAACATGGGCTCTGGAGCCAGACCTAGGTTCCAGTCCTGGCTCCACTCAGCAGCTCTTGATCATGGGCCCATCACTTGATCTCTGAACCTCATTTGTCTCATCTTTAAAAATGAAGATTCAGTGGAGTCATTAATATAAAGAAAGCATTTAATACAGTGCCTGGCAATAATAAATAGTGACTTTTAAGATGAGTATAAATTTAAATAGGAAACTTTTTGAGCAAAGCACCCTTTTTGCAAATGCGTTTTTGTGGGGAGGCTGTTCTGCTGGAAGGAAGGCGGGAGGCCGGGCGCCCTCACCCATGTCTCCCAGCCCCTGGTGGTGCTCCAGGGCCCCGTGGCTTGCGTGAGACCGACCATCACAGGCTGTGACAGCCCAGGAGCTGAGACAGACCCTGCAGAGCGCAGGTCTCTGCTGTTTGTTAGGGCCCAGGTTTTCTCTTGTTTTCCGATCCAGTGTGCTCCGTTGTGCTTCCTAGACTGCTGTGCGCAGCTGTGCTGCTGTGGGTGGATTGTTTGTGTTCCCCCAGAATTCACAGGTGGAAGCCCTAATCCCCAGTGTGATGGTACTTGAACTTGGGGCCTTTGAGAGGGAATTAGTGTTAGATTAGGTCATGAGGGCAGGACCTGTGTGATGGGGTTACTGCCTTTATAGAGAGAAGGAGAGACCTGAGCTCTCTTTGCAGCGTGTGAAGATAGAGCAGGATGCAGCTGTCTGTCCTCACTTAGACACCAGATCTCCTGACAGCTGGACTTTGGACTTCTAGCCTCCAGAACCATGAGTAGTAAATATTGTGTTAGCCACTAGTCTTTGGTGTTTTTTTAACAGTGGCTCAAACTAAAATGCCCAATCTAATTTTGACCAGCATCTCATTTCAACCACCACAGTCCTTTCTAACTTGTTTCCCTAGATGTCATCTGAGGAGTCTTCCTTTGTAAGCCAGTGGTGGTCTTCTCAAAAATAAAATGATTATGTCACCCACCTGATAAAATTTTGTTAGCTTCTCATTGCTCTTAAGATAAGATCAAAACTTAGAAGAAGTCTTTCTTGACTTCCTGGAGTCTGCCCCATTTCATCCCTCCTCAGGCCACCCTGCTGCACAGTGGACGTCTCGGTCCTCACAGGGATCTGTGCTCTGCCACCCAGGCCTCTACACATTTTCCTTCAGCTTGTAATGCCCCTTCTCCTTGCCCTTCACCCCTAGTCATCAAGCCTCAGCTTAAGTATCCTTTATGGAGACCTCCCTGACCACTTAGACTAGTGTAAATCTCTGCTGCATTCTTCCCTCGCTGTATTTTATTATGAGTATTTCATTTCTCTTCTGGCTCACTGCACACTGGTTTCTGAGGGCAAAGGCTGTGTGTGTTTATTGAGCGCCATTCCACCAGCCCCAGCGCCATCGCTGGCATATTAAAGTTGCTTAGTGCCGTGGTTGGATCTTGGATGGCTGTGTTTCCCAGGAAGACTGTATCAGTAATGTACGAGTTTCTATCCAGTATTGCGGTTTATAGTGCCAACTAAGTAGAATGATTTATCTTGCATTTTTAATGATTCTTTTTTTTTCCCCTTCTTGTGAACTTTTTAAATTTTAGGCCTGCCGTGGGGCCCAGACAGCTGCAGCCGCAGCACCACGAATCAAGAAATTTGCCATCTATCGATGGGACCCAGACAAGACTGGAGACAAACCTCACATGCAGACTTATGAGATTGATTTGAATAAGTGAGTATCTCTGTGAAAGCTAGGTGTTTGATAAATGAAGGTGAGCTCTTAATGTGATTCAGGGACACATTTTTCCCATCCTTGGAAGGTTTTAAAACTGAGAATATCCAGTTTTTAAAACAAGAATGACATCGATACTTGATTCAAAAAGATAATACCAGGAGAGAGGCTCAAGAGGAAGGGGACATATGTATACCTATGGCTAATCCATGTTGATGTAGGGCAGAAACCAACACAATATTGTAATTGTCCTTCAATCAAAATTAAATTAAAAAAAAATAATAATTTGGGATTTTAGATTAAAAAACAATAATACCAAGAAGAACAGCTTTTATGAAATTCTTTTCCTTCTTCCAAATCAAAATGTAACAGTTTCTAGGAATACTTCCATCTCAAAGTATAACAGTAGTGATGGTTTTATGCATAGATCTGAAATCATTAACACATGAACAGTTTAAAAATACTCGGTGTTTTTATGTTAATTTATGAATATGGACGTATGTTTATAAGTTTATAAGCACCATAAACTTGTCCGGAATGGTGATGGGCCAAGATAGGGCCCATCTAAAATATTAAAGTGATCCGTTCCTATTTATTAGCTTTCTCTTTCTATAGTAATAATTGCACAGATTTAGTGGCTTAAAACAACATAGATTTATTCTCTTGGAGTTCTATAGGTTAGAAGTTCGATAAAGGTTTCATAGCTAAAATCAGGGTGTCAGCAGCCTGTGTTCCTTCTGGAGACTAGAGAATCTTTTCTGTTCCTTCAAGCTGTTGGCCGAAGTCAGCTGTGGGCCATTCCCAGTGTTTAGAGACCAGCTCAGTCCTTGGCTCATAGTCCACGTCTTCAGAGCAGCAGCAGCAGCAGGTCGAGTCCCTTACGTTACATCTCTGAACCACTCCGTCATCTTTAAAGGTGCTCACAGAGAGCCAAGAGGAAGGAAAAGTCTAATGAGCTGGGCTCCAGCTTCCCGCCACCGCCTACCTCAGCCTCTCCAGTAACACCAGCACTGTTCTACTTATAAGTATTTAAGTTAAATATAAATAAATAAAAATTAAATATAATTAAATATTAAATTAAATATAAATATTCTAAATGTAAGTATTTCCTTTGAACAAAAGCTTCCATGGCACCAAAAAAAAATGTTTGAAGACTACCAATATTCTAAATGCTTTTTTTAAATTCTTTTAATAAAGAGTTAACTGATATATGATCTTCTCAGACAAAATTATCAAATATCTAGCAACTTAAAATTATTAATAGAATCCAAATAAAGGAAAATTGTATAGATCACACTTTCTGACCATAATACAATAAAACTAAAAATTCATATTAACAGCAAAAAACTATAATTACTTGGAAATTAAAAAGCAGTCTTAAATAAGTATTTGATTAAGGAATAATAAAAATATTATCAGATACTTAAAAAATAAAAACTTTGCAAAGTAAAACTACAGAATGTGATTAAAACTGGAAGAGTTAAATTTATAACATTTTTAATGACAAAAAAAATTTTTTTTTAAAAAAAATTTCTTTTGATCGATTGCATTTAGTTCCGGTAATAGCAGAATAGCTTTCGTTAGATTGAAAATGAAAGTGTTAGTTGCACAGTGGTGTCCAGTTCTTTGCAACTGCATAGACTGTAACCCACCAGGCTCCTCCGTCCATGGGATTTTTCAGGCAAGAATACTGGAGTGGGTTGCCATTTCCTCCTCCAGTGGATCTTCCTAACCCAAGGATCGAACCCAAGTCTCCTGCATTGCAGGCAGACTCTTTACCATCTGAGCCACCAGGGAAGCCCTAACCCTTCCACAAATAATAACTGAACAATCTGGTTTATAAAATAAATATAAGAAGCAGTGGGGCTTCTCTGGGGGTCTGGTGGTTAAGAATCTGCCTGCCAACATGGGGGACACAGGTTTGAGTGCTGGTTCGGGACGAGCCTGCCTGCCGCAGGTGCTGGTCCCGTGTGCCTGAGTCTGTGCCCCCCGGCAGGGCAGGGGGCCCTGAGCGAGACACCCGTGCACTGCGGCCAGGACCCAGCACAGGCAAGATACGTAAATCTTAAAAAAAAGCAGCAGCAGCAGCAACCAAAGGCGCAGGAGAGCAACCGAAGCAGGCAGACGCTGAGACAGAGTTGACAGTAGGAAGTATAGAATGTTACTTGGAAAAATCAACTCTTTTTGCATGTTCTTTAACTGAGGGCAAGCCCCCACTGATGTGGGAGTGCAAGGGCTAAAACGCAATTAAAAAACCACAGTCTTACTGTGGTCACCAGCTTCCATAACCAGAATATGCATTTGGAAGCTACCACAGCAACCAGAAAATGAGGAGGAAATCCTGGAAAGAGGTACAGAGGGGGAGTCCCAAATTCTGTTCATGAACTGCCCAGATCTTGAGTTCAGTGATACTAATTGTTGCTTTAACAACAACAGAAAAATCATCACTATTCTGAGAAGCACAATACAGTCCAGGGTTACTGCATCGTGTTATTTACATAGTCCAACATACAACCGAGAATTACTAATACACAGGATTACTCATACACAGAAGCAGTGCAACTTGGTACATGCTCAAGTGAAAAGACACTCAACAGGGACCAGCCTTGAACCAACCCACTTGTGGGAACTAGCAGAAAGGATTTTAAGCAATTGTAATTGTGTTCTTAGATAAAGGAAGATATACTCATAGTTGGGTAGGAAATCTCAGCAGAGAGTTAGAAACTTAAAGAACCAATGGAAAATCTGGAACTGAAAAGTACAGTATCTGAAGTAGAAAATTCACTGGATGGGCTTAGTTTAAGAGTAGGTTGAAACTGACAGTAGGAAACTTTGGTGAATCTAAAAGTAAATTACTAGAAATTAAAAAAAGAAAATAGTAGAAATTGTTCTTAAGACAAAAAGGAAAAAAGAGATTTTTTAAAAAGCATTTCATTGATCCATGGAACAGTATCAGAAGCTCTAACACATGTGTAATTGGAGTCCCAGAAGAAGTGCAATGGAAGAATAAGCAAAAAATATATTTGAAGAGGTAATGGCCAAGAATTACTCAACCTGTGAAAAGCATAATTTACATACTCAAGAATCTTAACGAATTCCAAGCAGGGTAGTACATAGAAAACCACCACCAGGCACATCATGGTCAAATTACTGAAGATAAAAATACAGAGGAAATCTTGAAAGCCGTGAGAAAAAACACACATTGCGTGCTGAGATGTGAATGATTGTTTACTACTCATCAGAAATTACAGAAGCTGAAACAAAATGAAATGACTTCTCTAAATTACTAAAAGGAAAGCTCTGTGAACTGGAATTCTGTATTCAGCACAAAGATCCTTCAAGATGAAGATGAAATTAAGACATTTTCAGATAACAGAAAGTGAAAGAAGTAATAGCCAGAGACCTGTGCCACATGAAAGAGGAAGTTTTTCAAGCTGAAGAAAAATACCTTGTGGAATCTCAGTTCTTAGGAAAATAATAAAAAGCACCAGATATGATAAATATAAAACCTTTTCCTCTTAACTATTAAAGTAGATGATGACCTTAAAACAATCTGTAAGGTATTACGTACAGTATGACTCTCACAGATGCGGTGCGTGTGGCAACGGTCTTATGTAGTCGCAGCGGGTGGTGGGCGCTCTTGGTCTTGGGCATGGGCTGCTCATTCCAGTGGCTTCTCCTGCAGAGTGCGGGCTCTGGGCGCACAGGCTGCAGCAGCTGTGGCTCCTGGGCCCTGTGGGGCACAGGCTCTGGGGTCGTGGCACTCAGGCTTAGTTGTTCCACAGCAGGTGGGATCTTCCCAGACCGAGAACTGAACCCACGTCCCCTGCACTGGCCCGAAAATTCTTAGCGCTGAACTTCCAGGGAAGTCCTGGTAACTGTATCCATCATGAGCTGAGAGCAAGTTCACCTGTGAAGTTGGAAGGTGGTTACCTGAGTGATACAGTATCAACTCTCAATCCGTTGAGAAGTTAAGGACATATAATCCTAGAGTAACTGACTGGTTCAAAACTGGGAAAGGAGTATGACAAGGCTGTATATTGTCACTCTGTTTATTTAACTTATATGCAGAATGCCAGGCTGGGTGAATCACAAGTTGGAATCAAGATCGCCAGGAGAAATATCAGCAACCTCAGATATGCAGATGATACCACTCTAATGGCAGAAAGCAAAGAAGAACTAAAGGGCCTCTTGATGAGGGGTAAAAAAGGAGAGTGAAGTAAAAGAGTAGAGTGGTAAAGCTGGCTTAAAACTCCTCATTCAAAAAACTAAGATCATGGCATCCGGTCCTGTCACTTCAAATAGAAGGAGGGAAAGTGGATGCAGTGACAGATTTTAATTTTCTTGGGCTCCAGAATCAATTCAGACAGTGGCTGCAGCCACAAAATTAAAAGACAGCGTATTAAAAAGCAGACTTTGCCGACAAAGGTCTGTATAGTCAAAGCTATGGCTTCCCAGATGGCGCTAGTGGTACAGAACCTGCCTGCCAGTGCAGGAGACCCAAGATACCTGGGTTCGATCCCTGGGTCAGTAAGATCCGCTGGAGGAGGGCACGGCAACCCACTCCAGTATTCTTCCTTGGAGAATCCCCTGGATAGAGGAGCCTGGTGGGCTATGGTCCATAGGATCGTAAAGAGCCAAACATGACTGAAGCAACTTGGTACACACATGGTTTTTCCAGTAGTCATGGAGATGTGAGAGTTGGACCACTAAGAAGGCTGAATGCCAAAGAATTCATGCTTTCGAATTGTGGTTCTGGAGAAGACTATTCAGAGTCCTTTGTATGGCAAGGAGATCAAACCTGTCAATTCTAAAGGAAATCAACCCTGATTATTCATTGGAAAAACTGATGCTGAAGCTCTAATACTTTGGCCACGTGATGCAAAGAGCCAGCTCATTGGAAAAGACCCTGATGCTGGGAAAGGTTGAAGGCAAAAGGAGAAGGGGGCAGCAGAGGATGAGATGGTTGGATAGCATCATGACTCAATGGACATGAATTAGAGTAAATTCCCGGAGATAGTGGAGAACAGGTAAGTGTGGTATATTGCAGTCCATGGGGTTGCAAAGAGTCAAACACTGCTTAGTAACAACACACACACACACACAACTGTTTTTAATGCCAAGAGACATAGGTAAAATGGAATTGGAATATATAAATTAAATATATATTAAAATAGAATTTAAAAAATACTAATGTAAAAATACTACTTAAAGGAAGGCAGAAAAGAGGGCTTCCCAGGTGGCACCAGTAGTAAAGAACCCACCTGCCAATACAGGAGACACAAGAGACGCCGGTTCAGTCTCTGGGTCATAAGATCCCCTGGAGGAGAGCATGGCATGCCACTCCAGTATTCTTGCCTGGAGAATCTCATGGACAGAGGGGCCTGGGGGGCTACAGTGCAGCCTGTCACAAGAGTCGGACACGACTGAAGCGACTCTCTATGCATGCACACACTTTGAAAATGTTAAGAAATGGAAGAAAACACAAAATATTCATCTGGCCTCAGGAAGGAGCATGGTCTTTTAGACTTAAAAGAGGACGGTATCATAAAAGGAAAAGTGGTCGACTTTTAACAGTGTGAACATTTAAATTTTTTGTGTGTTTTAAAATTTTGACTTTCAAAATCAGAAATCAGATAACCAATTGCTGGTTGAGGGAGGAAGCAGGATTAGCATTAGATGTGTTAGATGTGTGATACTGTGGTATGTGTTTGGTCTTGGGTTTCTGGTTTCTAAAACCCTTGTAATCCCAAACAACTATAGGGTCATCTTTTGTTATGTTTTGTTTGCACTCTCAGTTCCTCAAATAGCTTCAGACAAATAATAGAGGTGAAATGGGTATCTTTTTTATAGCAAGCTCGTTTCAACCACACCTGAGTTTATATTAAGTGATTTCTTAGAAGCCCCTAAATCCATTCGATTAGGACTGGTTGCTAAGAGAACCAACCGTAAGATTCGAGGGCTGACCTCCCAGGAGGGGAGCGGGGCTAGAGGTTGAATCGCTTATCAGTGACCAGGGATGTAATCAGTCTTCCTACATAATTAAACCTCCATTAAAAATCCTTGATTACAGGGTTCAGAGAGCTGGGTTCAGTAAAGCCCAGGAGGTGCTAGGATAGAGTGGCCTGTAGGAGAGGGTGTGGAAGCTCTCCTCCCTTCCGAATACCTTTGCCCTGTGCGCCTCTTCCTTTTGACTGTTGCAGGGCTGTATCCTTTTATAATAAACCAGTAATCTAGTCAACAAACTGTTCTTTTTTTAATTCTGGGGGTAGTCAGTCTAGCAAACTGGAGGAGGGGGTCTTAAGGACCTCGAGTTGATAGTGTCAGCTTTCAGTTCCACTGTGGGATTCCCACTTGATGTTGCAGAATCACTTGGCATGGAAAAAACACCCACAGTTGGTGACCGGAAGTGAAGTCCTGGGAGTGAGGAGCATAGAGAAAAACAGAAGTGTTTCTCTTCTAGAAGATGGTAGTTCAGACCTTAAAAAGGAAAACTCCCCAGACTTCAGTAAACAAAGAGGCAAACAGCATGGAGAGACTGAGTCTATAAGATTAGTCCACTAGAATGAGTGCTGCCTATGGCAGGAATTTGTATCTGCTTTGTCCTCTGGTGGATGTCTGACACCTGGAACAGAACCTGGTACAGAGCAGACTTTCAATAAATAATTGATGTGAGGAAAGATCAGTGAATTTATGGCAGATATTCAACCACTGGAGTGTTCAAAAATCTCAAAACAGTGACAGTAATAACACATCTCCATTCTCAGAATAGCAGGGTTTTTTTTTTAAGGTTACAATTCCCAGTGTTAGCAGAGGTACAGTGCAAAGGGTGTGACGTATTGTTGGTAGAAATACATGCAGATGATGCAGATGTGTTAACTAGCCAACCTTGTCATGGCAGTCCTTTCACTGTGTATCAGATTATCATGTTATACACTATAAGAAACAGAAAAAGTGGAAATAGTGACATTTTATTTTCTTGGACTCCAAAATCATTGCAAATGGTAACTGCAGCCATGAAATTAAAAGACGCTAGCTCCTTGGAAGGAAAGCTATGACAAACCTAGACAGGTATTAAAAAGCAAAGACATCAGTTTGCCAACAAAGGTCCGTCTAGTCGAAGCTGTGATTTTTCCAGTAGTCATGTTTGGATATAAGAGTTGGGCCATAGATAAGGCTGAGCATTGAAGAATTGATGCTTTCGAACTGTAGTGTTGGAGAAGACTCTTGAGAGTCCACTGGATAGCAAGGAGATCTTGAAGGTAATCTTAAAGGTCAGTCTTAAAGGTAATCAGTCCTGAATATTCATTGAAAGGAGTGATGCTGAAGCTCCAATACTTTGGCCACCTGATGCAAAGAACTGACTCACCAGAAAAGACCCTGATGCTGGGAAAGATTAAAGGTGGAGGAGAAGGGAACGACAGAGGATGAGATGGTCAGAGAGCATCACTGACTTGATGGACATGAGTTTGAGCAAATTTGGGAGTTGGTGAAGGACAGGAAGCTTGACGTGCTGCAGTCCATGGGGTCACAGAGAGTCGGACACGACTGAGCGACTGAACAGCAGCGACAGCATGCCTCAAGTTTACACAGTATTTGTCAGTCGCAGAGTTGTGTGGGGGGAGAGAGACGGCATATAGAAAATTGGGAGGGGGCATATTTTTTTAAACCTCATGCATAGAGAAATACTGAGAATAGGGTGGAGGTGTCAACCACGAGATAGGTTTGCTAAACTCTCTGCCAGCTACTCTGAAAATTGCACTTTTTTAAAAATTGAAGTACTGTGTAGTTGATTTACAATATTGTGTTAATTTCTGTAGAGCAAAATGGCTCAGTTACACACATTATTTTTCATTTCTTTTCCACTGTGGTTTATCACAGGATACTGAATATAGTTCAGTAGGACCTTGTTGCATGTTTTTATTTAATCTTCATAATTTGATATAAATATTAATTCCATTTTACAGATGCAGAAACAGGCTCTGAGAGAATAAGCCATTTTCATTAAATCAAAGTCCGTGCGGTCACAGTAGACTGTGTGTGGCAGACGCTGCTCTTCAGTGCTTCGTCTCCCCTGTGCGTTAGTTCGCCTACAGCGGTCCTGTGTGATTGCTCTCTGCCTCAGAGCTGAGAAGCCGCTAACTAGCCATTTAGAGCTACTGTTTTCATCCAAAAAAATAAAACTGAAATTTGAAATAAATTATTTGGGAAGACTTTTCAGAGAGCTTTAGAGGAAGGAACAAAAGCTGCCAGTGTGTAGAAGTTGTTCCCTAATCTAAACACGTCTCCATTTCTTTACGCTCCGTTTCCTAGAAACGCACATGCAGTGTGGTCCTCAGAGTAGAGCTCAGTGGTCCTTAAACTGTGAGTGCACGTTCCACTGTGTGCACACAGTGAGAACTGGAAAAAACTCTGAAGGCGACCTCAGAAGGCCAGATGGGCAAGAAGAGCCGCTAACACGTGTCGCTGTCTCAGACTGTATCATGGTAATGTCAGGAGATTGGGCTTCACATAAATACAGCTGCGTCTATTATTTTTGTGACTTTTTTTTTCTTTTGGTCAGCTGTGGTCCTATGGTGTTGGATGCTTTAATCAAGATTAAGAATGAAATTGATTCTACCTTAACCTTCCGAAGATCATGCAGAGAAGGTAAGCCTTTGCTTCCCTGTTGTTAGGCTCGGACACTTTTGTCCTGGTTCCCAAAAGAGGCCTGGGCTGGCCAGAACCAGTACTGGGGCTACCTGGACAGTGGCTGTAGCGCTTTGCCAGGTAGCCCCACTACAAGTCACACTTGCTCTTCTGGGGCAGAAGTGTTAGGAGTTTTCACTCCGGATACAGGTTCGGGTTTCTGAGTTTATTTCCCTTGAGGAGCTTTCACTTGCATGGTTAATGCATCTGACGGCCCCTGTGAGCAGCTGCACCCTTCGGGAACCAGCTCACATACTCTGCCTGGCAGCCACAGAGCCCCTCCACTCAGGTGGTGGGGGGTGGATTTCTAGACACTCACCACTTGTCAGCAGGGGAGTCGCGCGTCCCGTGCCAGCTCCCAGCATCACACATGCCCAGAGCAGGTGGTCAATGGGATGTTCTGGGTGGGAACAGCGGCTGCTACATTGCGCTGCTGATTCCAGGCAGTGTGCACTGACATTGTTTACTTTCATAGCTACGTACTAGAAAAATATAATTACAACAGTGGAACCGTGGTAGAAATGATTTTTTAAATAAGAATTTAAGTTAAAAGGAGCTGATTTAAAGAAAACTCTTTAAGTAATCATCCAGAGAGTTCTCCAGTGTGGGAAAAACCACAGGAGTGCTGTGACGGCTGACAATCCTGCCTGCTGTGGAGCACAGACTGTGCGCACTCCATGCTGGGCGCTTCACGTGAGACACACAGGCGCTGCAGTCATTGACACTCGGTGGACATGTGAGGAGACGGAGGCCTGGGGAGGGTCCGGGCTTCCGGATGGACCCGGAGGTGGTCCCCAGTGTGGGGAGCCAGGACTCAGGCAGAGCTGTCAGATTCTGGAATTAATCCTCTCAGGCAGTACACTCGCTTAGCCTGGCTTGGAAGCCTGGGATAAAACCAGAACAGGGTCGCTGGGGCCTACCATGGGCTGTGGCTGACTTTCTCCCTAAAATACCTTCCGTACAAGGAAAGGTCGTTACAGCTGTCAGCCCACCGCGCTTCATCTGTGTCCTGCTGGAGTCTCAAGCATTTAAAGTCCTGCTGCTAAGACATCTGTTTCGATTCAGCTAATCTTACAGGGCTGGATTTAATGTAGCCTATGCTGCTAACACGTATGATTATTTGGCTGGATCCTGCTGTTGAGGGAACATCCTGCTGTAGTTAAATACCAGCCTCACAGCACAGGAGATAAAGACACTTCTCAGTAATCTCTCTGAGCCAAGAGCACAAGTTGTGGCCCCTGTGAGCTAAAAGTAAAAATGGCAGAATGAAGGTGACTGTGGCTCCTTTCGGTTCTCTCTTAAAGAAAATTTCCAGGTAAGCCCTGGAAATTTCATTGTATTTTTTTTTTTAATTAGAGATGTGGTGGCCAGGGGTTAGACTGTGTAGTCCTTTGTAACCCTGAAATACCTAGGAAATTCCATACACAGGAAATGAGTGCAAGCCAAGGAATTTCTCATTTCATGGTGCTTGCTCAGCACCTTCTTTTGCGTACTTTGGTTGGTTTCACATTAGTTCATCCTCCTTGGGAAGTCGGTGCTAAGGCAACTCAGATGGGCTTCATGCCCAGAGAGTAGGCACTGAGCTGCTTTGTGGAGACAGAATCAGAGCGACCTCTGGGGCCCCTGTGTCCAGGCCTCAACTTTAAGATGCCCAAGACAGAGTTGATTTATTTTGGGGTCTTAATCTGTTGAGGGTTTGAGTTTGGTGAATTCCTGGCAGTCCAGTGGTTAGGACTCTGAGCTTTCACTGCCAAGGGTCCAGGTTCAATCCCTGGTTGAGGAACTAAGATCCCACAAGCCATGTGGCATGGCCAGACCAAAAAAGAAAGTTTGGTCCAGTGGGGACCAACACAGCGCAGTCATCCTTCAATTAGAAATAAATAAATTGTTTTTTAAGTTTCTAAAAATAATTCAAGTAACAGTGACTTTAAACACACACATAGAAAAGGCTGTTTTTTCCTCTCCGAAGACATGGGGCGAGGAGCTAGGACCCGGGGGGCCCTCGGGCGCCAGCAGCGCCATCCTGGGCGGGCACCTTCCAGCCTCAGGGTTGCCCCTGGTCTCCCAGAGTCTCCGTTCTAGGAAGGAGGGCGGGAAAGGTGGCGGGCACCTGCATGGTGTGTCTGCGCCGGCGCCCCCGCGGCTGCTGGAGCCTGGAAGGGAGCCGGCGCGGCGGTCACGGCACCTCATGCTCTCTCCAGGCATCTGTGGCTCCTGCGCCATGAACATCAACGGAGGCAACACTCTGGCGTGTACCCGCAGGATCGACACCAACCTCAACAAAGTTTCCAAAATCTACCCTCTGCCACATATGTATGTGATAAAGGATCTTGTTCCTGTAAGTTTTCTGTTTGCTAAATGGGTTGGGAGGTGTGTGTGTTTCGCTGAAGTTCTTCAGGGCAGGTTTCTTTCCTGCCGTGAGTGTAATTAAGGGATGTAAACGGCAGAAGGTAACTGGCCCAGAAAGTCCTCCAGCTGCTTGTTTGGTGAGGATTGTTTGGGAATAACAGCGCACAGGATTTTATACTTGGGACAGTTTCAGAAATGAACAGTTTGGCCCTGACAACAAAGAATTCATGTGGAAAATCTCCGTTGAGAAAGCGGCCGTTGTCGTGTGCTTGAATTACCATCTCCTGATATCTGAGCACCTTTCCCTTCACTCACTGGGTGCTTTCAAGGGTATCAGGAGAAAGAATTGCAGGATGGGAAAGTTTCTCACGTGGCTAAAGGAGAGATTTCCTGACAACGCTAACATGCGACCGTTTCTCCTTTCGTGGTCTTTGCATGTAGCTGTGCCAAAGGAGGAGAGGCTGGCTGCTGCTGTCACGGGGCGGGAGCGTGGGCAGTGTCCAAGAAATGGGGTACATAAGAACGCTGAGGGTGGCGGTGGAATCTGACCCGTTTCTTCCTCTTCCTCTTCCCCTCAGGATTTGAGCAACTTCTATGCTCAGTACAAGTCCATCGAGCCTTACTTGAAGAAGAAGGATGAATCCCAGGGAGGCAAGGAGCAGTACCTGCAGTCCATAGAAGACCGTGAGAAGCTGGTCATTAGTCCCCGTTTGTTGTCTGACTTGAGGACTTTGTTGCAGAGATGTTTACCCAGGGGGCTGGGATGGGGTGGGGAGGCTGGCGTGTAGACCATTTAGCATCTTCCGGAAAGGAGCTTCGGAACTAACTGTCGCAGGGTTGGACACGCAGCCTGTCAGAGCCAGGTGGGCAGTGAGAGCCCAGAGAGGGCTGGGGCTGGAGCGCCCCGCCGGGAGCGGCACACTGCTGCCGCTGCACCAGACCCTGTCTCTTTCTCGGGAAACTAGAGTGTCAGTTGCCAGGTTTTGACAAGTGACAGCTGCGTCGGTTACTCCCGTAACAGTGCAGACGAACAAAGCACATGCTGGCCGTCTGCGGCCCGGCTGCCACCACTCTATCTAGGGACGGGAGTGAGAGGTGGTGGCAGAGCCAGGACTGGGGCTTGCTTCTCTCTTTGGTAACGCATTGTGGGCTTGTGACAGGCCTGCTCACTCTGGGAGGTGCTACCCCTGGGGGCAGGCTGTGAAGTCTCTGAAGGTGAAGGGGTTATTATCAAGGGTTTAGTCTCTTGCACAGTTTTACTTCCTCTAAGTCTCTGGCTTGCACACTCCCAGCACACTCCTCTGGAGAGGAAGAGGTGGAAAGGGGGACCAGACGGAGACAGGTCCCAACATTGCCTCTGCACGCAGCAGGGACTCACGCTGCCTCAGGTCACCGCTTCATTCATTTATGGGACAGTCCACTGGCAGGCCGAGCCCGCCTCGGCGGTGGGCCGTTCCTCACCCTTTCTGGGTCCCATGGCATGAGCCAGCTTACCAGCAGATACTAGTTGTGTGAGTGAGTCAATGGATTTTGCCTTTTTAGGTCCTGGGGAATATTTAGCCTCTCTTCTCTTCCCTGTTGGAGAAGGAAATGGCAAACCCGCTCCATATTCTTGCCTGGGAAATCCTGCCAACAGAGGAGCCTGACAGGCTGCGGTCCATGGGGTCATGTGGAGTCAGATACAACTGAGCATGCACTCATACACACCTCTTCCCCATAAAACGTTAAGAAAGGAACGTCCTTCAGACTTCCTGGTGGTCTAGTGGTTACGACTACAAGCTCCCTGTGAGGGGCATGGATTCAGTCCCTGGTCAGGAAACTAAATCCCATGTGCCACATGGCACAGCTCAAGAAGGAAATAGAAAGTCGTGGTAAGAGTGCCAGGCCTGTCGTCATGGAGACGTCGAGGGTCAGCATGGTGATGGAAGTCAGAGCAAGCAGCCAACTTCTCTTTCAAGAGTTTCTTGTTCTCGGGATGTAGCTACCCCTAATTTCTAACTTCAGGGAGTCTATCATATCAAGTAGACTAAATAATATGACTGTTATTAAGGCTTTGACCTTAATAAAAGGTCATAAAAGCTGTGACCTTATGCCTTCTAGACCGTGGGACTAGCTTACATGCTTACCAGCTGAGAACACAGGTTTTGTTGGAGACCTGTGGTTACCATGATGACCATCAACTCTGCCATCTGCTTATAGCTGTCACTTCAGATGTCAGCTTGCCCTTCTGTTTCGCCACTTGTAAGCAGTTTCTGTTGTTGCCCAAATCAAAGTCCGGTTTGTTGAAGCCTGTTGGGCAGGTTAAGTCTGTGAGTGTGGCAGTGTTAGAGGAGGCGTTCCAAAGCAGGCCGCCTGGCGGCCCGTCTCAGCTTTGCTGTTGGCAGCTGTGTGACGCTCAGCAAGGGACTTAACTCCTCTGAGCCTCTGTGCCTCACTTGTAAAATGGGAATCTAACAACACTCACCCCAGGGTTATTGTGCCAGTTAAATGAGGTCATTTAGGCAGTAAGGCACCCACTGCTCAGTGTGGGTTGACTATTTGGGACAGTATTGGTATTCCCCCTGGAAACCTTGAGATCCCTGCTGACCCAGGGCAGAAGCTGGTGTACACTCTGGATGCCTCAGCACTTGGGGGCTTTTTAATTTCTGCTAGACTGCATTCGAGGTGGTAAGTTCTTTTCTTTTTTTTTTTTTTTTTTTAAGATAAGTGAGGTGTTATTTACTAAAGGATAAGTACATGTGGACTTAAGAACTCTGGGCTCTGATCCAGCACATGTCTGAAGATAGTTCCAAGATCTTTTTTATGAACATGGTAAATCTCTGCAAACTACTCCTAGGATTTTGCCAAGAAAACTCGTGCAAAACAAACAAAACTCAGTGCACTTTGTCCGTGTGCTGACCCCACACGCCACGTTTAATCAGCTCAAGGCACAGCTGTCTCTCCCGTGATGGGCTCCTGATCACCCTTTCTCCCCACACAGGACGGGCTCTATGAGTGTATTCTCTGCGCCTGCTGCAGTACCAGCTGCCCGAGCTACTGGTGGAATGGAGACAAGTACCTGGGCCCCGCGGTCCTCATGCAGGTGAGGTGCCCTCCTTACCGTGAGGGAAGCTGAAACTCTGGCATCCAGAACTCCAGAAGGACAGTGTGCTGGAAGGCACCCGTTCCGAGAGGCGGTGGTGTCCTTCCCTGGCACCCGCTGCAAGCAGGGTCATGGGTCGCATCGCCTTTACTTGCCTTCCGATGAATCTGGCACTTCCTCTGCAGGCTGCCTTCGTCGAGTGTAGCGATGGCCACACCGGGGGCTGGTGGCTGCAGGTTGGCAGGCCGTGCCGTGCAGCTGGCTCTTTGCGGCCCACTTGCCCGCTTTCCCTGACTCCATCTGTCAGAAAGCTCCTCACCTCCCTCTCAGGGATTTTCAACATACAGGCAGGACAGAGAGAAGTTTCTTTGAGGGGCAGTTACCCAGTGAGAGGTTGGAGGTGGTTTCCCGGCTAATGAAAGCCTGCAGTGCTGGGTTGAGGCATGCTGCTTTTCATCGCGTTTGACTGGATGTATAGTTCATGGCCAAGGGTCACTGTCTTTGTTCCCAGAAAGCTCATACTTTTTAGATTTGTGGTCAGTGCTTTTCATAGACCCTTAAGCAGCTCAAAAAACAACTTCTTGTTTCTCATTTTCCCATAAAAAGAGAAGTTCTGTGGTTCTGTGACCAGTTAGCAGTACTGATCCTGGCCAAGTTAAAGATTGAATAGTGAGGTATGTTCATAGCTGGCACTGAGACCCTGAGCTGAGCTGCTGGGAGGCGTAGAAGTCCCCTCGGTCACTGCTGGAGCTTAGTCGGTGGTCAGATGGCTGGTCTCAGGCTGCCTGGATGGCTGTGCTAATTAAAAGATCAATAAGAATAAACGTTAAGTCGTCTGTTTGCTCGGAGAAGGCGAGTCGGTGCTGGGGAAGCGGTTAGAGTCACGCATCCCGCCTTTCCTTTGCTCTTTCATGTCTAGGAAGGAGGCTAATGAGAGCAGGAGGTCGGTAGCTGAAGACGTGACGCCACTGGTGCATAATTAAGCACCAGGGACCAGGTGCTGTGGTTCAAAGGCTTGTGGGCCTCATTAGTCGATGTGATCAGAAGATGTTATGAAAGGGTGGAGAGCCTTTCTCTGAAAGAGAACGAGAAGTGAAGGGTGTGGAGACGACTTCTAAGCTGGGCCTGCAGGTTCTCTGCACGCCGGGAGCTTTGGTGTCGGTCAGAGGGCTGCTCCGGCTAGTTAGGGCTCGGCTCTGCTCACCAGTGCCCGCTCCCCCAGGCCTATCGCTGGATGATCGACTCCAGAGACGACTTCACGGAGGAGCGCCTGGCCAAGCTGCAGGACCCCTTCTCTCTGTACCGATGCCACACCATCATGAACTGCACGCGGACCTGCCCCAAGGTACGGCCCGCGGCCCCGCGCCTGCATGTGCCTCCCCTGGGAGGCAGAGCCCGCGGTCGCCTCGGTGTGGACCCCGGGGGTATCGGCACCTCGGCGCTGTGCGCAGGGTCCCGCGGGCGCAGACACGGCCCCTCCGGAGGGGTCTCCGGCAGGGTTCCTGCGGGCCGGGTCGCGGGTTCCTGCTCTCGGATCCGCTGGGTTCGCCCTGACTGCAGGAACCTCAGGACGGAAGCTGCGAGCACAGGCAGCCATGGGGGCTGCAGTATGCCCGCCTCGCTCTGCCCCACTGCGCTCTGCCCGCACACTCTGCCCGCTGCGCTCCTCGGAGCTCTGCTTGCTTAGCTTTCACTCCCTCTTCCTGTTCCCGCCTCAGCAGCTGCCTGTCTCCTCATTTCTCGGCGGGAGCCTCCTGGCCCAGCTCAGCTCTCCCGGCATAGCCCACAGGCGGCATATCTCAGCGGACGTGAAATCCAGACTGGGCCATGCCGCTGTTTGGGGCCCCCGGCCCCAGTCTACCCGTGGGGCGTCGGCGCGGGGATTGGCGGGCCTGCTGGGTGCTGCCGGGCGGAGAGCGTGGGCCGCAGGCAGCGCTGCCTGCCTTTCCCCGGGCTCACAGAGCCGTTTGGCCCGGAGGCAGGTCCCGCCGCTGACATTCTCAGGACAGGGCCTGGCACAGAGTGAGCGCTCAGGAAAGGGGACCTTCCGTTATTTAGAACAAAATAGGTCCTGGGCCCGATTGGCCAGTCTGTCAGAGAACAGCTGCTCCGAGGCGGCCTGGCTTGTGTGCATGTTTCTTAAAAGCTCCACAGAGAATCCTGGGCGCGAACCTGTGCACTGCAGAGGGCAGCAGACGGACCAGCCAGGGGCCGACTCGGTGTCCCGCCTGCCCCTGGGTAAAGCAGGGGTGGGCACTGGGCTCCGAGGCTGCACACAGGCCCTGAGAACCATCGAGTCCGCGCCTTTCACACACGGGGAAGCGGAGCCGGCGGCCGGGGCAGTGTCCAGCTGGGGCAGGGCTAGAGGCCCGCCTCCCAGCACCGGCGAGGGCGGGCGTCTCGCCCAAGGTCATCAGGCTCTTTGTTCAGTGTCACTTACATTTCATATTGATGCTCTTCTCCTTTTTCCAAGGGGCTAAATCCCGGGAAAGCTATTGCTGAAATCAAGAAGATGATGGCAACCTACAAAGAGAAGCAGGCTTCTGCCTAACTGTGCTGTGCGCAACCTGACTGTAGCCAGCTCAGAATGCAGTTCACCTCCGAGTTCCTTCAGAGGTCGTGATTTCCCACAAATACAGCATGTACAATAAACAGTCTAAGAAATAAATAAACATTATTCTAGTTTATTAACAAAAGAAAGCAAGCCTGTTCCTTACACGTGCTGCAGCGGGAGGTGCAGGTGCCGTGAGGAGGGGCCCCGTCCTTGAAGGGGACTCTGCTCCAGAGCCGGGCCGTGGGGCGTGCGTGGGCACAGGCGCAGCACCGGTGCCTTAGGGCAGGGGCACCCAGCTCTGCCGCTTGCCAGCTGGACGACCCCAGACACGGCATCTCTGCTGCCCCGTGTGCCCGTCTGGGAGGGGGGTCTCCTTGGCCCCCTGGAGCGCGGGCGCCTCCCTCCCTGGGTTCTCCGCAAGCTCTGGCCCGTGGTGTGCAGCATCCCAGTTTCTACAGCTCCCAATATTAGAATTGCTTAAAACCACGTCTCGCCAAGTCTATCTCCGTCTCGTGGAGACAACATTACAGAGGCCTCCAGCACAGCTGTGAACTCCAGTTCCACAGCAGCCCTCCAGAGGCCTCGACCTCGGGAAGCGTGGATTCCCACCATGGCTGCCCTGGCTCAGCTGCTGCCCCCAGAGTGGTAACGCTGAGAAGAGTGGCAGCTTGTCAACTTAAAAATGGAAACCCCACCAGTTCACCAGCTTTCACATCCCCTGCTGACGGTTCACTTCTTTCCTCTAGAGCTTTGTCATCTCAGATGTGTGGAGTTCTTCATTCCCTTCAAAAACGAGGTACAAGATAGTAATAAGTTTCTATTGTTTTTCCTCCTTGTGGTAAAATGCACATAACAAAATTAACCACCTCAGCCATTTTTCAGTGGATGATTCAGTGGTATTAAGTATTCACATTATTGCACAGCCCTCTCCATCTCCAGAACTATTTTCATCTTGCAAAACTCAAACTCTGTTAAACACTTAAAATTTTTCTTTCCATAGCGCCTAGCCACCATCATTCTACTTAGTATTTCTGTGACTTCGACTAGTCTACCTCATATAAGGAATTAAATGGTGTTTGTCTTTCTTGTAACACCTTTCAGTTATCATAAAGTTTTCTAGGTTCATTCCTATTGCAGCAAGTGTCAGAATCCCCTTTTCTAAGACTGAAGAATCCCATTGTATGTACACAGCACATTTTGTTTATCCAATAATCCGCTGATGTACATTTCAGTTGCTTCCGTGTTTTAGCTACTGTGAATAACAGCAGCTTTCTACTTTTACCCCAGGATATATGAGGTCCACGGTGCTACTAAAGATCTGTGTGTGTGTGTGTGTGTGTGTGTGTGTGTGAAATTTACCTTCCACTTTAGCTTATTTACCCACTGGTTCTCTGCTCTTTGGCAAGGATGTAACTTATTTACCCACTTCTAATACACGTTCTGGTGCATTCACTCTGAGGAATACTCCAAGGCTGTTTTTTCAAGTTCTAGCACTGAGATTATCCTGGAAACAAAAGCTTCTTGTATCAGGAGGCTGAGAAAAATGTCTGACTCACTGAGAATGAACCTTAATGGGCATTTCTGGCTTAAATAGACAGTTTGGCCTTCGCTGGTGGTCCACCGGTTAATAATTGGCTAGCCATGGGACGACCCTGGTGGTCTAGTGGTTAAGACTGCACTTCCAATGCGGGGGGCATGGGTTTGATCCCTGGTGGGGAGCTAAGATCCCACATGCCACGCAAGAAATAAAAAAAGGATCCGCCTGCCAATGCTGGGAACACAATTTGGATCCCTGGCCCAGGAAGATCACAGACGGAGGGGCAGTCACACCCGGACACCACAACTACTGAGCCTGTGCCCTAGAGCCCGCTCCCTGAGAGCCTGCGCCCCACCAGGGACATCACGGGGAGACCCCAGGCTCCTGCAGCTGCTGAGCCCGCTCCCCAAAAGCCTGCGCCCCCAACCAGGGACGTCACCACGGGGAGACCCCAGGCTCCTGCTACTAGAGGAGGCCCATGTACAGCGACAAAGACTGAGCCCATAAATGAAAGGGGACCGTTCAAAGGCACTCGTCTGGTACTGCAAGAGGTGAGGGGCAAGGCCTGTCCCCTCTCGCCTAGGAGCCAAGTCACCAAGAAAACAGGAACACACATTAAATCGTTAGAGATCCAGAAAACAGTCTCCGCCCTCCCGTTTGCTGCTGTTCTTGTCGAGTCACTTGTGTCCAGCTCTGCGACCCCGTGGCTGCAGCCCACCAGGCTCCTCTCCGTGGGACTCGCCAGGCAAGAATACTAGAGAGGGCTGCCATCTCCTTCTCCAGGGATCTTCCCGACCCAGGGATCGAACCCCGGTCTCCTGCCTTGCAGGCAGCTTCTTTACTGTCTGAGCCGGCGGGGGAGCCCTAACATTAGCACCTCAGGTGGTGGACCACCTCAGTAAGAGCACGCAGTACACAGCCTTCAGATTTTCAAGCTCCAGGTTTGGAAGTGAGACCTGGAAACATCTCTGCAGCTTCCCCACCCCAGGCTGGGTGGCAGGAGGGCACAAACTGCCTTCCAGCTCTGTTCACACTTAACCGATCTCTTGACAGCCTCGCAGGGAGGTCACATTCCTGGATAATTTGATTTTGCTTCTAATCTCTAGACCTGTAGGGAAAGATGGGTTTTCTCGGGACTAATTTAATGGCTTTAAAGATGAGCTCTGCGCCAGCCAGCTACTGACAAGAAGCAGGGGAGTTGCCACTTCAAATCAGCTTCATAAGTCACAAAGACTTTTCTAATAAAACTGCAGACTTGAATAGGGATGGTGTTTTGTCCTTCACGCTACTTCTGTGCCCTAATTGTGTCCAGATGATGTGCTTCCATTCACAAAAAGGCATCCTGTGGAGTGCTTTGAGTTTCCCTAAGGGCTGAAGCCAGCCATCCCTTCTTACCCCGCCTTTGGGCAAGTTGTTGAACCTCTGAGCCTCTATTTTCCTATCTATAAAATGGGAATTAAGCGCATTCGCCTCTCAGAATTGTGGGTAAAGTCTCCATAAGAATAAATGTAGGGCTTCCCTGGTGGTCCTGTGGTTAAGAATCTGCCTTGCAGTGCAAAGGAGGCCGGTTCAGTCCCTGGTCCAGGAAGAGCCCGCATGCTGCAGGCCCCCGGGCACCATGACCGCTAAGCCTGCACGCCAGAGCCCTTAAGCCGCAACCACTGAGGCCCACTGCCCCAGAGCCGGGCAGCAGAGAAGCCTGTGTACTGGCCACAGGACCCAGTGCAGCCAAAACTAAACGAATAAGCGTTTTTAAAAAGAAGAATAAATACGAGTTCTTACTATCCCTCAAAAAAAGTTTGTGAGGTATGAATATGTTAATTGAATTGAGGAGGGAAAACCCCCTTCACAATGTATAGCAAATCACCACATCATACACTTTATAAATATCTCACACTGCTTTCAGTTACACTTCAGTTATGCTGAAAAAAACTTTAAAAATAAATACCTAACACTTAGGAGTTTAAAAAACTAGTAATGTAAAAAAAAAAAGAAGCTTCTTGCTTGCAGTTGAGCAAATGCTCCGTAAACTCAATTAACTGGCTTGTCTCAAAAACCTACTGTGGGGAAGATTGAGTCACATTTCCAAGGTGATTAATCCCCTGGGAATTCCTTGGTGGTTCGGCGGTTTGAACACCACCCTTTCACCGAGAAGGGCCCAGGTTAGACCCCTGGATTCAGGAACTGAGATCCTTCAAGATTTGGGTGCCAGCCATCAGGACTGTCACCGCTGGCATATTTCCAACGTGGCCAGAGGGGGAGACCCCCTGTGCAGAGGGGGGGGCTGTCTGCACAAGGCTTCTCACCTTCTCACCGCCCATGTCACAAGGACGGCCGGGTGCCAGGGGGTGTGCCACCGACACTGGACAGGCAGGTCTTCTTCCCACCTCCTCCCTGCCAGGGAAACTGCAAGACAAACTGCTGAAACTCCCCTTTATCTGTCTAGACAGCAATCATCTTGTCATGGGGTTTGTCACTACATGAGAAAATCCCTTCTGTGGCAAAGATCTAGTGAAACTAGGGAAATGGAGAAGTTAGGCGATGCTCTATAGTAAACCAGGCCAGATTAGTGCATTCTCAAGTCTTTTGCCACTTGGCCTGCTACCTGAAAACTGGGTTTGCCTCTTGGGGAATGTCAAGCCAAAAGATCCAGATTAGGAAAGATTTATTCCTTGTAGAGAAAAGAGAACACCAGGGATCTATCTCCCCCAAAGCAGCATCTTCCCAAACAGCAACAGTAGGGAAATTTCAAGCTAAGGGTACATGCACACTCATGAAGGGGCTTGGGCAGTCAACAGAGTCCAAACTTTAGTTGATTGAAGTCACAAGGGTCGAAAAAGGTCGACGTCAGGTTCCAGTTGATCTGATGGTTGAGCATTTCAGGCTAATCGTCACCACTGATACAGAACTGAGAGTCTTTACAATTGATGTATTATCTTTGCTAGTGTTACTTCTCTTGCCGAATAACAATCCTTTATTCTTTTGTTCCCTTAAGGTCACTAGTTACTGAGACCTGGTCTAGGGCAAGCATCGTGGAAAGCTTTGATCACAGAACAGCTTGGGCCAAAAAGGTTTCTCTTATGTCCAGAAAGCCATGCCTGATGTTCTTCCCCCAGGGCTCCCCTACGCTATCGGATTACAGAACCAGGTATATTATGTCCTTCCTGTGGGTTCCCGAGGGAGCAGCAGCCGCAGAAGGGAACCTCCTCCGTGGGTCCTGGCCCACAGGCCGCCCCACGGCCACAGGAAGAGCCGCTTCCCCAAAGGTGACCCTGGGCAGATGCAGGGCCTCCCAGATCCTCTGTGGTTTGGAAGGAAGCCTCCTTTGGCCTCCTCCCATAAAGACTGTAGACCACGTGGCAGGTGTGTCTTCTTCCCAGAGGCTCAGAGGTTGCAGTCTTTTAAATGCCAAGTGAAACTGAAAGAGTCAGTGGCTCAGTCGTGTACGGCTCTTTGTGAC